CGAAATTCTAAATACATCGTCTATATAACATCCGACTCCTAACGCTTACCGTTTTTGAGAAACATGAAACTCTGTGTAAAAAATCGAAAATGCAGGTCCATAAAAGCTTACTAAATTTTTGTATATATTTGTTCTTGTCAAACGATTTGTAGCTGCTTATTTAAGGAAGAAGATTAAATTGTGGAAAATTCCAGAACTCTATTTCTTCAAATGGAAGGTTTTATAATCTCCTCATCTAAATTAATAAAAATGATTAATGTTTAGGAAGTATTTGCAAATAACTCTACGTGGGACGACCTGCATCACGTCTTCAAAAACTTCACAGGAGTAATCATCTGGTCATATGCACACGCCCGTCGTGGTTCAGATTGGCAAAACTGAAATTTGGTTAATCCAGGGTGGGATGAAACTCATTCATTGTTTAATATATTTTATTTGTGATAAACTTTGTAGTATTTAGTATTTCCGTATTTATGTTTTTGAGGAAGACCGAAGCAGCTGTTCTATCACTGATTCGCGCATCCTTCAAGAAAATGTCCAGCATGTGCTGTATTTGGACGTTTATCTACAATTCTCGTCGTCTCGGCCATCTTGGCAAGTACTATCGCAGTCGTTACCGAAAATTGCAACCTTCCAAGGATATATCACTTTTTGACCTTCTCTGTAATTATTAGATAAACAAAGGTAAATCATTGATACCTATTTTGTTGTAAGCATAAGTAGTTGCTCAGGCACAACATCTTGCAAAAATGAAGTCCGAAAGCCTCAGTTTTTGACAATATCGGAGAGACTTATGAAAAGTAAAAGTGAAAGGTGCTTGCCAATGAGCTTCAAGCGGCAGCCTATTAATTGACGGACAAACCAGCTTTGAGGTGAGCCCAAGTTACATTACCATCCGGGTACCTTACGGTGATATTAGCGGTACTACTAATTATGAATTTTGCTAATTTAATTAGGATACCTCTTATTAGAAGACTTCCATGATACTGACAGACGAAATATTTTGCAATATATCGAGCACATCACACGTTAGCATTATGCTGTATTCTGTATTTATAACTAGCATTTTCCAGACCAGTATTCCAAAACCTACCTTTTCATTTTGTAGTAACCTTATATTACTGAAGTTTTCGCGATAAGTTTTTTAGATACGTTTGCACTTATCGTATAAAAAATGTGTCAAGTGGGTTGGCTCTCCACTTCCTATGCAAGGCCATCATCGGTTCATAAATGATGAAGTTCGGCGCAATTTATACCCTCTGAGAAAATACTGAGTTACAGACACGTAGAACAGAGACATTAAATGTATCAAGTCGGCCAAACAGGCCCATACAATTATTCCTGCCCTACTAGTGGTTACCGACAATGTGGTAACCCTGTCCCTTTCCATATCTGCGCGGTATCTCTGCAGCGAGTTATCTTCCAAATCGTGCAGGCTCTGTATGTTTTTTGGGTTTCAGTACGAATACATACATATATACGCCGGCCTGCTTCGCCAGGCACCTCGCTCTGATAGGCTCGAGTAAATGGACCGAAAACATTTCTCTATCGTTCTCTATCGCAAGCTTTAAGGGAATATGTACGGGTAAATCTATGATGTGTGGAATACACCTAATAGGTGCATACAATTACCGGGGTTGCCAGCGTATAAATACACTAAGATAAAGAAAAATCATATACCATTCCCCATTCTTTACAACCTCCAGCCCTCAAGGTTCAACACCTCACTAGGTATCATAACGCTTTATAGAATCAAAATGGCGGATTTAATTCAAAAGTTTCAACATTGAACTCATATTTCACAGACTACAGCTTAAACTGCCTGACGGATTTTCACATGCGTGTTATCTCTAGAATTGTCACTGTCTACAGCTTAAGCGGATTGATGAATTTCGACGTCTATCTGGATTTATCTTGACAGTATAACTAGGTATTTTATAAAACCAAATTGCTAATTTTAAACAAAAACATCAGGTTTAAAATGTCTAACTCACGGGCTACGGGATCGATCGAATTTGAGATTTTAGATATCCTTAGCTTTGTCCTGACATTACAACTGAAGCTTCACCCGTGTCAGTTATTTGTATTTTTAAATGTACTAGTGCTATGGTGTTTTATTGCTCTTTATCTTTATATGATAAGCTCTTCAGAGAAGCTTATACCAAAAGCAGGACTGACTGAACTGACATCAGCCTGATATAGAGAAACTTGTCCGCCAGAAACTATCGATAATCTACAGATTCCAAAATCAAATCACGCAAGGTGTCTCGGAATCCCCTTAGTCAGAGTGCTTAAATGGTAAATGCACGTATTCTCAAAAAGAAAACAAATGGTCGTCGAACTCAGAGAGATGTGTTGTATTTCTAACCAGGGCTATGTTCGTATAATATGATTAGATTATCCTGGACACATACTAAAAGTCACAGGTTAAGATATTTAGGAATGGAAACCGAAGGATGCATAGATATTTCATTTATCCGATGAAAAACCCGTCTGTACTTCTTAACGTCTCATATAGATGGGGTCTTCTCTTTCTTTTAGTCTTTCGTGGAAATTGTATTATATTGTACTTCGCCGTGTTGAACGCGGTTAGTTTTATTACGGTAGTTGTGAGTTCCAGACAACATTTGAGTAGTGAGAGGATTGAACTGTTCAATCCACTTACCACTTTCCGAGCGATAGGGTCTGGAAGTAAAAGAATCTATGACGCCTACTTCTATCTATAACATTCTTTGTGGATATCAGCGAACGGCAAATGCTATTTGGAGGGCCTGTCTGTCTTTTACTGGTCCCACATTTTACTGAGTTCTAAAAATAGAATTTAAATGCTCAATCTTTTTTACCCACAACTGTCTCCCTCGAGCTTCTCATACTATATCTGATACACTATAAGTTGTCTGGATGGCAGAGTCAAACATAAAATTGTGGACTGGAAGGATATACTCTAAGCTCTGCCAAATGGCGCACGCAGTGTAAGTCAGCCTGGTCGTCGAAATAGGTTAGATATTAACCTATATCCTGGAACATCAACTGCTCCGCGTAGTCCTGAAGAATTATTCAATGATTGAACATTGAGATTTATTGAAATAACACAGCACAAAGTGCCATCTCTTGCCAAAAACAACCATTTCGAATGTGAAAACATCAAGCTGACTGTTGAAACTGTATCCCGGTTTGCATTGACATCCAGATGACCACCGCGGCCGCTAGATGCTACGGACGGCCAACCATGGACAGCGGATTCATGATATTTGGTTGGTAACTCCTCAGCATGGTGTAGGTTCGATCTCGGTGGACAACGAACGAAAGCTGAGCAACTCTACAGAGTATATCACTACTTGTATTGACTAAAATGTACGAAGCTATATCGCAGCTGAAGGCAGAAAATCTTAAATTTAACTAAGAGGCCTAAATACCGGGCACCGCCATTGCTAAAAGAGGTTAGGGGCATCTCGTTAGTCCGATTTTGGAAGCGCCTAAGGTTGGTAAAACAAGGGAAAACCTTCTCGGGAAGGGTGCTTCACAATCTCTACACTCTATGAACAAAATAGCGTCGAGGCGATCAGCTCTAAAAGTACGAAGTTCGACACGGTTAAGGTTAGAATGCCGGTCTTTCTGGCACGCTCATAACGCGACGAGATTATGGAGGAGAGCTGTCAGGAGCAAAGCTCGAAGATACGACGACCAGTTGGTTCGAAAGTACCCAGAGACCGTCCGTTAGAGAGCTGTCACCGATTAGTCGAAAAGTCCTTCCCTGAGCAGCGTCGAAAATGTAGTCGGGTAAACCGCACCCCAAACATGTGAGCAGTACTTAAGACTGGTCTTATCTGCGTCTTGTACAGACAGTTTGAGGTGGTTATGTGGAGAAAAGTACTTCTTAGCCCTAAACAGGCTGCTTAGTTTTTTTTCACCAGCTGCCGCGATCGACCACATGTCATCCCGATAGACCATTCCTGGGTAGTATGAGCTCCGGGAAGCTGAAATGAATGGACTTTTGGTAGAACTTGGTCGTCTACAAGTAGGTACTTCTTGTTGTACTCAGATACCGAAAAGGAAGAGAGTAGCGGAACACATGGCATGCCATAGTCAGCGCGGCTTCTCTTTGAAAAAGGCGAGATACGGACGCACAGACTTTGTCAACTCAAAGGCATGCCTCGCCCGCAGTGGCGTGTGATGTGTTGTGCTGCATTGTTTTCTATTCTTTTGCGTACCAGAGTATAGTCAAGGTACAGTACTGTTTTGGAAGAATTAAATTGTACCAGATTGCTGTGTCGCCATGCTGTGATATCCTCCATATATTTTGGAAGTAGCTGCTAGTTTCCTTCTCTCCAGTTCACCGGCAGAGGTGGGTTGGCATCCTGAATTCCTGCATGTAGGCCGCTGATCCTATTGATCGTACAGGTCGGGAGGTCGTTGTTATGTAATAGAAACAAGGTTGGAGACAACACCGATCCCTGGGGAACGTCCGCGTTGATATTGTGGAATTAAGAGAAGAACCTGTCAATTACGACGGTTAGCTTGCAGCCAGAGAGGGAGTGAGCGATACCTGTTCTAGGAGACTATGAAATTCAAGATTACGTAAGAGGGCAGTATGTCACAGCTGATCGAGGGCTTTCGTGATATCAGACATGATTTACTGTACATAATATGTAAACATGAAGTGTATTATTAGGATTAGGACGAACACTGACAACCCTCATTACGCCGTCAACTTCAAAAAGTTCAAACAAAAATCTCATAATGAATAGAAAATGGTGTGTCACCTGGAAGACAGATAAATAAAATATTGTCAAAAGAGTCATATACTAAAGAAAGTCACTGAAACGTTTACTAGATCAAATAATTTCAAATATATGTGGCTTAATTGACCAGACAAGCATGAGAGATTATCGGCATGAAAACCACAAGATGACTTTTAGATGTTACATTAGAAAAAGCTTTTCTTTGAAATATGTATGCATATAAGTTTTCTAACAACTGACTCCATCTGTCCTCCTCAGGACAATCGTTGACTCCTTAAGCCATGTGCTGAGCGGCAGGCAGCTCCAATGGAACATGGGCTTCATTTATCCGGGCCTCGCCATGAGAGTGGCGCCATCTGGTGCTCCGGGAGGCGTTCTGGAATTCGTCATCGATCCGCACAGAGAAGCGGCCAACGTTCACGCCTTGAAGGAAGCCGGAACAGGTAGGCTTTTAGTAACGATCGTTTTCTTGTTGATGGTTCATGTAGACGGCAGATGGAACTAGAGAGCTTACATTGTGTCTCAAGTTCTTTAGTTCAGGCTTCCTAGGGACATGACCACCCAATAGCTTCTTTTCACTTTTTTCTGTAATGATATGGAGACCGTCCAGGAAAGTGCTTGGAAATTGTGTAATTAGGTACGACCAAGGACGGCTATCTGAAGTATATTTTAAAATAGGATTCTAGGATACATTCTTATGCTACGTTCCAAATTATGGGGAGCATGATGGACTTTCTGAAACAAAACTGAATTTTTTTACAAATTTGGATACATCTACCATAAGAGTTTCATGTAATAAAATCACTCAAAACCCGTCACAAACGAAGCCAGTAATAGTACTCATACACAAGCAGTAGGTATCCGAGTAGCACCGAGGGCTTTACTGGAACTCCACGTCCAAATTGGAATTTATGTTGCAGATATTACCAATACATAATCAGTTCTGTTGGATTTTCTTTCTTTTCGTGAGGATGAAGCATCTGAAATTTGATACAACCACAAGAGCCTATGAGTTGCTCACGAATAATCCCACTGTGGCAGCCCTTTGCACACCTTCTGGCGTGCGACTTAGCTACACGTAAAACTTAACTATGTGTGTCGTTGTGCATGTCGTTGTTCATGTATAAAATTCTTATCCCTTTCTGTACGTTTCTATTAATTTTAGAGCCACCAGATATACAGAAAGAATCGTAACGGTGAAGCGGTTCACAGACCTTCACAAAGGGGTCAGTAAACTTGACATGAAAGTTTTACTATGTATCATTCGTATAAACATAGATGACACTAGGAGTATGAGAACAAAAAGAAAACTATCAAAGGTGGTACAAAAAGACGTACTGTGGGATCACAGCGTCAGATCATGTATTCTTCTGCGTAAAGTAGATGTCTCCATATGTTTATGACTAAGGCCTATATCGTCAGTCGTCCCTACAATTGTAGGGCGCGTTCATGGCCTCCTTCATTGTCATACTCCTTTCTCTCCTTCAAAAATTTCTAGATTACACTTGTCCTGTGTCAGCGTCAGCGCTCTCCTATTGTGAAGATATGTTTTCTTTTTAAATTGTAGGAAATTTCAGGCTGATAAAACATGATATAACTCAAAAGTAAGCACAATTTGATGCAAATAGATGTTTGTGACATAACCTCAAAATAGAGTTCTGACACGGAGAAGTAGAAAACTATGACAATCAAGGAGGCCATAAAGGCGCCCTACAATTGTAGGGACGACTGACGATACGGGCCTAAGACATGTATACAGGGTTATCCAAATTAAGTGTCCACCATTAGTAACTTTGTTATTAGTGAAAATACAAAGTTGTTTGAATTAGCAAACTAGTACGCATTTTTAACGCTGGTAAAAATGAGAAATAAAAAAAACAATTGAGAGTCGTTATTTTGATTTTTTTCAGTAAAATAACATTTTTTTAAATGGAAACCCCTGTATATTATATTTTTTTCTGTTAAAGCATCAAATTTTAAACAAAAAAGCTTACAATAACTTTTCTCCTAGGTTACAAATTGTTGAAGTTATGGCCTCCAATCTGAAACAATTAAATTGTATCGACAAACTTTATTTTCAACATCAACTTATAATCTTACAAAATACAATAACAATTTTTTTTAAAGAAGATGCTCGAAAACACCACCTTGTTCTTCAATACATTTTTGGGCACGTTTTTCAACTGCTCGAACTGTCTTAAGTATGGTCCTACCATCTATCTGGGTTATCTTTTCCCTAACTGCAGTCTTTAACGCGTCAAGGTTATCATACCTTCGCTTGTAAATTTGGTTCTTTAAGTAACCCCACAAGAAGTAATCAAGTGGGTTTAGATCTGGTGATCTGGGAGGCCACTGTATTGGGCCACTTGTTCCTATCCACTGATCATTAAAAGTAGTACTTAGAAAATGATAAGTACCTCTGGAGTTGTGGGCAGGTGCGCCATCTTGCTGAAAATGCAGATGATGTCTACTTATAAGATCCAATTCGTCTAAGAAATTAGTCAGAATTTCTGACATAAATTCCACATATCTTTCACCAGTTAGGGTTCCCTCATAAAAGAACGGGCCAACAATTTTTGAACCAATTATACCGCACCAAACGTTGAAACTGAAACGGACTTGTGGGCCTCTTGGATGTACTAACAAAAGATTTTCTCTTGACCAATAATGGTGGTTTTTTCTATTAAACATTCCAGAATTTGAAAAATTTGATTCATCTGTCCATAAAAGGTAACGAAAGTTATTTACATTTTGGCGACAGAAGCTAAGATACCAATGGCAAAAAACAAGTCTTCTCTCTGGATCCCCTGCCAAAAGCGTTTGAACTGGTCGGTACTTATACGGAATAAATTTGTATTTTTTTAAAATCCTTTGAACAGTACCATAACTGATATTAGAGTCCTTGAGAATATCTGCTATTGAATTCTCACGATAAGCTTCAAAATATCCAATAACTGCAATTTCCTCGCTTATTATGAATTCTTTTTTTGCCCTTGTTTTAGCAAAAACATTTTCGTTGCCCCTAAATTTTCGATAAAGTCTCAGAAAATATCGTTCATACGGTTGAATGCGAGCGGGATATAATTCACTGTAGTATTTATTCTCTTGCTCTCAAGGAGGATTTTCTGCACACTAAATAGCATTCTAACATATCACACTTTTCTTCATGGGAGAACATTTTTCTTTAAATTAATGACACAATAAAGCTTATAAACAAGTATTTACACTAATGTTTGACATTATTTGATTTTATCATTGTTTTACAAAGCCTTCTAGTTGCGAGTATGTCCAGTTTAACAATTTGTCGCTTATCTTAATGCTGTCAAATCGCGAACGCCATGTTGTTTTCATAGCCGTCTTAATATTATAATACTGCAAATAATTAAAAATATTTATCGTTATTTTGACTTGATTTTTGACTTTAGCGGAAAAGTCATTATGAACTTTTTTGTTTAAAATTTGATGCTTTAACAGAAAAAAATATAATATACAGGGGTTTCCATTTAAAAAAATGTTATTTTACTGAAAAAAATCAAAATAACGACTCTCAATTGTTTTTTTTTATTTCTCATTTTTACCAGCGTTAAAAATGCTAGTAGTTTGCTAATTCAAACAACTTTGTATTTTCACTAATAACAAAGTTACTAATGGTGGACACTTAATTTGGATAACCCTGTATAGCTGTGGAAACTCATTACAAAGTTGAAGCTTTGTAAATATGTCAAGCGTTTGTTATACGTATCACTGATTAAACAGATTTCAGCTATTAGATCAGACCATAAAAGGACATGCCATTTGTACTTACTCAGAAGCTTTATCTTCTGAGACAAGCAGTATGAGAAGTAGAGGAGTTCCATCTAATTTTTGCCTTCGAAGTTATAGACTATATTTTTCAATCCCACAGTTTAAGATGGGTTTTTGGGGCCGCTAATACGTTAGTTATCACGCATGGTTTCCATTGGGCTTACACATTTTTTAAGTAGCAGTAAGGTTAAGGGCTAGGAGCAACAAATAACCCTATATGAATAAGGATACAGCTCCATACAAACGCCTAATATCCTAATTCGGTTTGTTTGCCGATCCACTAACAGATATCACTATGAGTTCTAAAATACATTCTCGAGGAACAATTATAGCTATAAGCCACATAAATTCCAGAAATAATGCATCTTCTAGTGATACACAAGCGAAAAATTAATTAATTGTTGGCTTATGACATTGTTGGTATTATGCTTTTTACGTGAGAAGACTCCTTTTTGGACTAGTTTTACGATACCAACAGGTAATGATTTCAAGCTACCTATACATCTTTCAGCTCTATCCATTTTGAAGTATAAATCATCTAGAAAACGGAGTATAGCATACTTGGTGGACACCGAATTGACTATTATTGAATAATTTGAATCTGTCAAAGAAACTGATGTGTTGCAAAGAGACATATTTCTCGAGAAGGAACTAGGAAGGGAGATCCGTCTAAAATTACCTATATCGAACTCGTCACCAAAACTAAACAAGGGTCTAATTTTGGCAACTTCCAGTTTGTCGGTAAAAGTTCCTTCCTCGACATGATAGATAATTAGGTAAGCTAGAGGATGACTAATGAGGGTTGATGTGATTTTTAGCATATTCGTACTGATACTATCAGCGCTGATGGAGTTGGATCCTTTAACATTACGAATTATAGCTAATATCTGATTTACAACAGCAGGATTAAGATAAACTGAATGAGTGTTCCTATCTACATATATTGATATCAGTATTTCCCACTTTAACATCATTGTGTAAGCCTGGAGTACAACTGAAATGTTGCATGAATTTATTAGCGACATTTTTTAGTTCTGTTATTATTTCATGTTCCACCTTTAATTTGATGACTTCGTACCTAGGTATATTTTTATTCTGTTCTATCACATTCCAAGCGGTCCTTGTTTGATTATTAATTAGAGTTAAATATCATTGATTTATAATCTAGTCGTTTTGCTGCTCTTAAAACTATAAAGCATATACCTTTTTATATTTCGTATAATGATCTTTAAGAAATATATCTCCAATCCTACGAGCCCCTTCCCACTTCAGTTAGCCCAACTATTGAAATCTTAGTTTTTTTCTTATCAAACACAAATAATAAAAATGTAGCAGGGTTTAAAATATTAACAATGAATGTTCTGATAATATATAGTAAAAAACACCAACTTTATCACTCCCTAATCAAATTTGCAGCATAAAAATAACACATATTGCAATTACAGCATATCAACCTATTTTCATTTCAATGCAAAATAAGTCTATAACGCAGAGGTGGCTGTGAAAAATAAATGCCATGACAATTGTTTTTATTAATCACAGCTGTCAGAATACGTTTAAAATAGTTTTGGGTAGTTAAGGTTTTTAAAATGGGTAGAGGAAAGGTTATTAGTGAGAAAATTCGGTTACTGATAATTCAATTTTTTAATTCTGGGAAATCAAACTCAGAAATTGCAAGTTTGTTAGACTCATCGCGATACAGTGTGAGAAATATTGTTAGAAGATATAACGTAACTGATTCAGTTAATATTAAGCCACGATATGTGAAAAAAAGTAATATCACAAATGCCGACCGAAGAGCATTAAGAAGAGTAATCGTGAAAAACAGGCACGCCAATTATTTACAATTAAGTACTCTGTGGAGTGACGCTGCTGGAAGGAGAATTTCGAGGTCCATAGAGAGGCCGACAAACTGGGATTTAGCACTTGCAAGGTAAGTTTTCTTATAAAAAAAAGTGAACTAAAAACACTAAAGTTGCACAACTTGTTTATAGGTCAAAGAAAAGCAACTATTAACTCCACTGCAAAAGAAAAATCGGCTTAGATGGGCTAAAGAACATAGACAATGGACACCTCAACAATGGTGTGCAATACAATGGAGTGATGAGGCCCGATTCGAAGTTTGTGTTGGTGACAGTCGCAGTAGAGTTATTCGCAAAAAAATTAAGCACTCCATGTTGACTGTCTGAAGAGAAAAGTGAAATTTCCAGCATCCATTATGGTCTTGGGCAGTATGTCATCAAAAGGAGTGAGAAAACTTCATTTTATTGATGGCAATGTGGATACAAACAAATATTTGGCAATTTTAGAAGAATTGCTTTTAGCAGTGATGGAAGAATGTTTGACATCCGGCCAAGATTTGTGTTTCAGCAAGATGGTGCAGCGTGCCATACCTCAAAAAAGGTTATCAAATGGATGGAAGAAAATAATGTACCACTTTTGAAATGGGTTTCTAGCAGTCCAGATCTGTCACCTATTGAAACTTTGTGGCACGAGATGAAAAAGGTTCTACGACAACTTCCTTCTCGTACAATCACCGAACTGAGGCAAAAGCTTCAAGAAATATGGGATTTTTTACAACAAATTTTTGCCAAAACTTGGTTAACGCTATGCCCCAAAGAATTTCAGCCGTAATAAAAAATAAAGGTGATGATACCCAATGGTAATCTTTCAATTGTTGCTTTGTTAACTTCGCGTATTTATTCGCACATTGTTTATTTGTTCAGATGTTCTATTAGTTATAGGTCTCAGTGATTTCAAATATGTATTTTTTACGACTAGAGTGTATCTAAAATGTTTTTGAGAAAATAAATTGTTTTAGAAGTAAATAGGTTCTTCATGTTTAGTTTATAAAGGCATATTTTGGTACAAATCTTGAAGTGGGCCAACTGAAGTGGGAAGGGGCTCGTAGACAGGTCATCCAGGTAGTGTAGCTATCTGCTGGTATCAATGTGCCTTTAGTAAGCCATGGTTTTCTGGTTTTACTTGTTTTAACAGATTTTCTTATTACTGGAACTGCAATACCGAAATGTTTGTAGAACAGCATCAAATTTGTCATTTATATTTACAGTAGACTCGTAAACATGATCCCATGTCTCTTGACAGGAGAGCTAAACAGATGTCGATGTTAGACTTATTGTATATGTCTCGGTATTGGTAAGATAACTTAGGTAGTTTATTCTCCTTTTGAAAGGCCAACGAAAATAATTGAGCAAAGTGATCACCAATATTGTTGTTTATCATAGCAGTTTCACACCCTACAACCTACAACCACTCAGACACAAATATTGTCGACACAATTAGAGCCTCGAATTGTTTGATAACTGACTTTGGAGAATGTATTTTGATATGAGTATATCCAACAGATGATTCTAATCTGAACAATTTTTATTAAAATATAATATTAAAATCTCCACACTGAACAATATGACACTTTTCAGATTTATGATTTGGAATATCTAAAGGCTCTTCAAGTTTTTCTAAGAAAATGTTAAAGCCGGCTTCAGGACTTCTATATAATGAAGCTATCACGGTATCGGCATCTTTGGTTGAGAAATTGCTTCCAAAAATTGCAGAATTTTTATCAGTTGAGATATCTTGTGTGGTACCATGACGAAAAAGTTTTCTACAGAAGGAAATAGCTAAAACGTAATTATGCATTATGTAAGGACTTGTGTGATTTAGCCTAATGTTCCGAAACACAAATAAAAGTGACATTCTACAACATCCAGAAATAATTCAAGCTCAGGCAGTTTATTACTGAGACATTGCTCGATTGCATGAACTATTTTTAAGTTATTCGAATTAATATTGGTTTAAGAATTTGACAATTAGCACCTAGCTAACTTATTCAGTGTAGTGGACTGTTTCAAGTCAATAATAATTAACACCCAAATTACATTCATATAGCATTCGCTTTTTCAAACTATTCTTTGAGTACAATTTATAGCTGCAATGAGTCAGTGCAGAAGCTATAGTGTTTTCAAAAATAAATTTGTTTTACTAAAATGGGCAGAAGAGTTACGTCTCATTGGTGATTATTCAAATGTTGAGCGAACAAAGGTTCTAGTGAAGCTTCTAAGTCTCATAAAATTGTTTAGAGTAGATTCATTATCCTCATCGTAAACTACCAAGTTCAATGCTTTCAAACACGTTACAGTAGGGTCATTTTTAGTTAGCTAGATTCTTCAACACTAGTCGCTCTGGAGCTTTTACCAGCGACATAGGAGGGCGTTGGATAGGTCAGATCAGGATCAGATTTGTAGCCAGCTGGATCTCAGAACTTTGCCGTCAGCCTGTTGGGAGAAGATTGAAGCTTCGCATCCTGTTTGGAAATATTCATTTTGGATAGCTTTCTCATGTACTAAGGAGCTTTGTATCAGATGTTTGATGATAGATAGCGTTATTCTGGAATCAGTTTTAGGGCGATAACTAAATGCAAAGTAGTCTTGGAATTTTTCTAAGAATTGACTCCTGAATGCGTGCGCTAGGGTTTTGTGGCACCCGTAGATGCTATTATCGAATGACACTTTTCTAACTGTTGTATAAATATGTATTCATTGCCGTTAGTTTTGTAAAAAAAATAATTATTATGTATCTTTCCTCTCTAGCTCGCTTACTGGCTCGACAGTTCCTAGTCCCCTGCTTACTAGGGCTAAAGTTCAATGTTTCGAGCTTAATCCCAATCATCTTCGGAGTTTTGGCGCTGCTTGCCAAAAAAGCTGTGGTCATAGGTAAACTGGCTTTGATTATCACCAGTGGAGTTGGCTTGGGGTCACTGTTCTTTGGGGGAAGTAAGTGTCAAACTTACTCTCCAGGAACTAATGCTGGATACTATGGAGGAACTGGATGGACTGGCGCAGCACAAACGTTCAAGAGGTATGCTAAAAACTCATACGGTTTTTGTTATTTAGTCTGAAGATATTCGCTTAAAGATCTGCGATCAGTGCGAACGATTCATGTAGTAGTAGAATGATTTCTTTAGGTTGCCAGAGAAACATGCTAAAGGTCATCAACTATGGGAGGTGCTCCGGTAGGAGTGGAGAGGAAGTTACTTCTTTCTGGTTCTTGTCTGCACTTTAAGTATGAATGACATTTGTCCATTAAATTTACAACAAACTATGTCATATACATTTTTACTCTAGGATCAATACTTTAAATGATAGAAAATAGAAATTTCCATTTCACTTCGTATATCTTAGACGACTTGGTGGATTTTGATGTAAGAAGTGTCTCGAGATTTTTTTTGTCAGTGAGAGTGACTCCACGAAACTTACATAAAATGGAAATGGCAGACTTTTTGTATTTTTTAAAAAAGAAGTTGATTTATTTTCACCAATCAAGATACTCCTAAGGTAGCTACAGGAAAAATTTATGTGTCACAATCTGTTGAGAATTTGATGTAGGTTATTAGAGTAGGAGGACGTATGAAGAGATTATTAATAGTTTAAGAGCTGCTTGCTAAAATCTCAAAATGGGATCGTATCCCCCTCCCCCACCACCGACTCACCACCCACCGTCGAGGACCTTCGATCTATTCATCGGGATACCTCAAGGGACAGATATAGCAGTTTTCAAAATTACATGCATCATTTGTGCTATTTTTTTAACTTTATCAGGGTACTACAAGCTTATTATAAAATAATATCACATGTTTTAATCATTTACAAGTAATATTGCTGGCTACTTGATACATGTGTGATCAATTTCCGCTTTTCGTAATTATCATTTCCTCTCCGTTTTGTTTAGTAGCCTTGGTCAAATGTTGAGTGTTCTCCATATTGAATATTTTTATCTACTTTATACCGATTGGCCAGTCTTGTGTGTCTGATTTTAAGAAACCGACTCTCAAACATACAAGAGAATACTGTGAAAATACAGACAATATCTTGCTGCTGTCAAGGCTTCTTATGTTACTAATTCAAAAATATATTTCAGTTATCCGAAAGATGAGTATCTCGAGCCAGAATACAGGGGGAACAAAGATCAACTCAATGTATACCCAAGTATAATACAGTCGGTAGAAAACGAGTCACGAACAGACAAAAATAAAGGAAGAAATTTTGCATGGAGTGAAGATGACAAGGTTTTGCAAGAGAAATCTGCGTAGTAAAGCTAAGAGAATTGTTGTTATGAAAAAGAATACTACACCGCATCTAACGTATGCCGCGAGAGTATGCAACAAAAGTTTGTACGAGTACTACCTAGGGCAAGATCCACCGTTTATGCAGCACTCGACAATTGTAAAGTTGTTAGCCTTCAAATAAACTTGTTGCCACTGGACAACCTACCCTAATCATCTGTACATACATCTGTACATATTCAAAAACGACTTATTAGCTAGATAAGAACAAGTAATTATTGGAGTGTGAAGCAAAACATACGCAAATTCCTAGAATTACTATTTATATTTTTATATGACATGTAGCCTAGGTTTTTTGTGGACATTTCATTAAGTCGTTCCATTCAAACTAACGCATAGATTTTCGTGATCTTCGCTAATGCTTCTGCTTTAAAGCTCTTCAACGTTAGACTCCTAAAGCAATTCAAGATTACATTTCTTGAAATATTGCAAAATGAAGGCGCGCTCTAGGTACTCGAAAGGTCATACAATACGAGTAGCTTCTTGTGGACACATCTGAGTGGAATGGCAACTAACTCTTGTGCAAACATAATTTTTATCTAAATAAAAACTTCGGAATAATTATGTATTTTTTCTGTCATAAATAGTAGTAAAGTTAAGGGAATGAGGTATGCCATAAAGGAGTACAAGACTAAGCTCCCAGGGCTGCCAGATTTTGCTTATTTCTCTAAACACAAATGAAAATCGTCAATTATGTAGTTCCAATGCCTGTACCTGCCAGTACCTGCTGAGATAGGTAGAGGGTCGATTTTCTGGTACCAGGCGAAAGTTGGGTAGGTATAACTGAGGTAGGCTTCACTTAGACTCTGAGGCCTGGGTTTTGTCTACGATTTGTAAAACATTATTACAAAATAATATTCGATACTTCCACTTTCCACTTGACATAGGTTATGTTAGACGTTTTAAACAAAGCGTCCCGCTATGCATTGACCTGTCCCTAACTTGTTTTTATGACTGCTCAGAAAAACAGTTCCATATAAAAATTAGAGGATATGCAGGAAGCTTTTCCTACTAGGTTTTCTAGTAAACAGGGTAGGAAAGCCCTATCGGATAAAGTTGTGCTTTTTGCATAATACTCTTGTATAAAACGTTTCCTCCAGACGCTCATAGCAAAAAAATAGAGAGGGGACAATTTATAGCGGGACACATGCTCAAAGCATCTGACAGAACTTATTGCCATCTGGAAGTTTCTGCCAGTACTGAATATAACTTGGTAATAAAAAAATAGTTAAAAATCATCCATCATAATTTAAATAAAGCTTGTTCTATTTTTATTCAGCCTTTCTCACCTGATAGCAGCGAATTTGACCATTCCCCACCTTACCAGATACGCAAGCACTGAAAGTACATTTAAACTCTATTAAATGGTCCACGTTTTGTCTTTCAGCAAGTAAGTAATGTTTGGTGGCCCTGACATCATGGGACTGTAATATATGATTCGTCAAAATAATTTCTCTTGGAGTTTATATAGGCTGTGAGGCAGTTATTAAAAAGTTGGTAATTATTGCCTCGCTCTCGTCGTAATTTTGTCAATGCAATCCCTCGCTTTGTTGATATCGGTCGTCGGCTTTAAGTACACCCTAACTTACAGCAAAACGTCACTTTTCAAATAACTAAGCAAATTTCTTTTCAATTTTAGATTCCTAACGCCATCTAATACACTGATGGCCATCTTCACCAACATTAATGTTATGGACCAATGGGAAAACACCTCATCGAAATGCAATTTGACGGAAGCTGTCAAAGGTCTCTGAATATCAGTGATTTCTATTAAAATATTGAATAAAATCGTGAAAGTTCGACTGTATTATAAACAAGACCACCAGATTTATGTTACAAATTTATATTTAACTATTAGTTATCCCCAAAGCCAATGGGAATGCGGCAAATAATAGATCGATTTAGTAGCTGTTAAATTTGTCAGCAGGTTTGGATGTTCGTTAATGCATGGCAATCTCGAATTTGTTAAGTTCAATTTACTGAGTGTTTATATGTTATCAATATAGCTACATACCTGTTGAATAGTGTGGATTTGTCTGTATTTTGCAAGAACTCTCCATCCTAAAACACAGATAATATGTATAAGACGTGTCAATCCCTACATCTCCTTGATGCATAAAGCAATTACTATGGACATAGACAAAAAATTATGAAAAATGTCTCACAAATAATGTCTTTTAAGTTCTAAAATCATGAAAACTAATAATGTTTATTATTTGCTTGCCTTTTTGACTGGCGGGGATATCTACCTGTCACTCGCAGGGTTGCCAAGTCTATCGACGATCACGTCCCGTGGTGGAGGGTGCGACATGAATCTTTTATATTTGCTGGTTTTGAATTTAAAGTAGGAACACAAACACAGTACTTATGATAGTTGGAGCTAGACTGATAACCCTTCTTGAAGAATATTTGAAAAGTGTGAACACCATCAAGGTCGCTGTCAAATTGCAAATGAAGTATCTGAAGATTCTTACATTCAGTGGACCTTCGTCATAGTTTACTATCCTGATTATGATCATCTTTGGCAGATGTGTTGTATCACCAAATTGATGAACCAATATAAGAAATCCCTTATACAGGGTGACTGGAAAATAGATGCGGAGTCGGTGGGGGGAGATAGTACTTGCCAATCTGAGTCGATTTTACTATAGGAACTGCTGACCGAAAATTAGCCGTTTTCGAATTATCCTAATTTTTAAGATTTTATAAAATTAACGTCCTTTATACGTTAACCAAGTCATAAAACTTGAAAATTGGGTGTTTCATTTGATTTGTTTTTTTGGTCTTACAATAAAGATCTTCTAAAATACGAAAATTGATACTCAAATGTACATTATTGACGTTCTCTCATGCAGTAAGCTTCAAAATAGTTCGATTTTTGTTAAAAAAATCTTGGTTCATCTCAAAAGCTTCAGTTTACTAGAAAAAGTCGCATACAAATTTTTCGTACAAAATAATTACACTTACAAAATCATACCTTTTATAATACATTTTCAATATGGCGCCCTCTTTTTCTAATGCACACACGTGCTCTTCTTATGACAGCTGATTCTACTACAGCTGAATTCCTAAGAGAGGCTTGAATTTCTTGTGCTGCATGTATTATCCTGTTTCGGAGGTCTTCTATTGTGGGTACAGGATGTGGATCAGAGTATACTAAAGTTTTCATGCGACCCCACACAAAAAAGTGCATAGGTGTGAGATCGGGACTGCGTTAACCAATTTCTAACACTTAGTCTAAAATGTGCTGGGCACCCGTCTTGCTGAAAAATCATTCTGTGTCTTGTGTGTATTGGCACGTCTTCAAGTAATTCAAATAGAACATTTCTTAAGAAATTTTCGTAGGCTTCTCCAATTAACTAGTCGGGTAAAAAATGTGGTCCTACCAAACAGTTATTTATAATGCCCATCCAGACATTCAGACAAGATCGCCTTTGAGATCCTTTTGGTATCTTCATATGGGGATTTCCAACTGCACGTTCAAGCCAATAGTGAGAGTTATGGTAGTTTGTTTATCAAATTTTGATTGGTCGGTTCATATAATTTTTCTTAAATAATTGCTATCTTCCACATCAGCGTTTAATCTCCTTCCCCTATGACGTGCACATGTGTGTAGTGGTAAGGGTGGAATATGTTTTCATGCAAAACATACCACACTTGCCATTGGGATAATCCAAGCTGTCGAGCCACAGCGCGAGTAGAGAGAGTAGGGTCTCTTTGGAAAATATTTAATATTTCTTCTTCTTCTTCCACATCATGTCGAGGTCTACCTGCATCACTTGAAGTAAAATGAAAAAACAAATAATAACAGTTTTTTGGAGGAAATTTATACCTAATAAACATAGCGGTAAGACCATGAGATAGAGTTGGCAAAATATTACTCAGAAAAAACGATACACAACGTGTGTGACATATGATTTATAGCATAACCCGCTGCCCTATCAACACAAATTTAACATACAGGTCGCCTTGCCGTGGGGATGCGGTGGTTGGGATGAATATAACGGCAGCAACTGATGATTTGGGCATGTCTGGTAACAATGTATGAAGTGAAACTCGCCAACTTCACAAATTTGGAGATTTTGTACAATTTCTTTGAAAATGATGAAAGATATGTCTGATTTGGCAAGGTAATGTCGCAGCCAAATGGCAGTCGGTCTTTCTGGACGCTGGCCAAGCAGATTGAAAATAACTTTTCACACAGTAGCCTTCCACACATACGTGTCAGGATGGCGCGATTATAACTGACTTGAATGCCAAGGCTGAAGTGCTTGCCAAGATCTTAGCTGCCAACTCCACCAGGGATGCTCCCGAAAAAAGCTTCTGGTCCGGACTTGATTGTACTGAAGAGCTGTGCAGCGGAGCTTGCTCCAGTTCTTTCGCGTCTCTCCCAGATATCTTATGACTCCAGAAAACTGTAAATTTGCTCATGTCCAACCCATCCCATAAAAGGATCTAAAACCGACCCTTACAACTACAGACCTATAGCTCTGCTTTCTGTTATAAGTAAGGTGGTGAGAGGTGCATAAGTCGTGAGTTTCTAAACTACCTCGAACGTCTCGGCTTGATTAGTGACGGGTATGGTTTCCGACACCAGCGATCCACAGGGGACCTCCTAGCTTACGTGACGCAATTGTCCCGTAATCCAGTATTACGGTGAGGCTTATGTCGTTGGTCTTGATGTCACGAAAGCGTTCAATCAGCTGTGCCACGCTGCTCTCTTATGCAAACTTCCATCCCATGACCTCCCAGAAAGGCTTTGCAGATGGGTGGCTAACTTTCTCTCTGGCCGCAAGGTATCCGACGTGATTGACGGGATCTCCTCTTCATCCCGCAAGATCAACGTTCCCAAGGGACTGGCCTTGGCGCCGACACGGTTCTTCTTGCATATCAACGACCTCCTTTCACTCTACATGCAGGAATTCAGAGTGACAAACCGATCTCTGCAGCTGAGCTTGAAAAAAGAAGATTAGCGACGACTTCCTCTCTGACGAGAGACCTGGAGGTTATCACTGTTTGGCGACGCAACAATCTTGTACAGTGTAAGGCTTCCAAAACACAGTACTGTACCGTGATGAACCAAAGCGTCCTAGCGCTCAGGCGATTCCGATGGATGACCGGGTTCTTCCAAAGAGCCGTTCATTTCGGCTAGTCGCAGTCCAGATCACCGAGGAATTGATTTGGCACGAACACATCTTGTCAGTAGCGGCAGTTGCTGGGAAAAGGTTAGGCTATTTGTTTCGGGCTAAGAAGTACTTCCGCATGACCTTCTCACTCTATACAAGGTCCAGAAAAGGCCTAGCCTCGAGTATTGCTCACACGTTTGGGGTGCCGTCGCCCCAACTATATTATCTATGCTTGATGTTGTCCAGACACAGGCGGCCGTCGGCGATCAAGTTCTCTTCTACTGCTACACCAACGGGCTTTGCTCCTCAGAGTTCTTTTCCACGATGCCGCCGCGCGATGTCCCTGCCATACAGACCCGGCTGCTTCGGTACAAAAAAAATGACTACTAGTAAAAGCTTCCTACTTCCATTCTATGTTGGCTGGGGAGATAGCGCAGCATAATCACTAGTTGCGTTCGACACTTGAAAATGCTTTAAGTGTAAAAAACTCAAACTTTAATGGAATTACCAATGTAGCCAAAAATCGCTAACCGTGGCAACAGTGTTGTTTTGTCCA